CACCCCCCCCACCCCCCCCCGCCCCCCCCCCAGGAGAAAAAAATTCCATTCTTATTCACTTCGCTCAACCGAATAGAATTATATTTCTTTCGTTAGCAGAAAATAAGACAAGGTAAGATACACTCATCAGACCTATATTTTATCAAATACATGTAGATGTGGAATTTTGGACTCATCTTCAATTATGCAAACTACTCAAAACTCACTTGAGCAAACATGACTGTGAATTATCAGTTGGGGTTATTCATTAACCATTTTGTAAAGACATATCTTTGTGATGAGATAACAAGTCTGCAATTGTGTGACCTCAGCAGGAATAATATAGTCCAGTCAGTAAACCAGAGGCAAATGCTATCAACACCTGATTATCAACTCTTATACAATATTTATAGCAAAAGAAGGACTGTATTAAAACTACAGAAATGTTGAGTGCAGTATATAGATAAACTATAACAATACGTGAAACTATGAAAAATATAAGTATGACACGGGGAATGCAGAATGTATTACTTGGTCATTTATCTAGGGATCAGTTTCAAACACTTTACTTGATAAAGTCGAGATGGGTGATACACGTAAAATGCTGCGGATAAAACATATAAAATAACACAGTGGTAATTTTAGAGAAGCAAATCATGTTTTTAATGTTTACTTTAAATTTCTACTAACTCCGGGTTATCGGAGTAAACAGTAAAACAGTAAAAATACAAAAATATACAAACTGTTGATTTGGTAAAATATCTATTTGCATGGGGATTTGTCGGCAAATAGAACTACGTGGGGAACTGGTATATGGAAATGTATGCCTATCTTACTTGGCCTGCTTCTATACAAATCTGTATCAGTGCTAATAGACCTCATAAATAGTGATTCCTTTGGTAGAATGCTGATCTGAGGATCAAATAAACACACTATGATCTTACATTTGAAGCACTGGTGGGATATATCTTTACATTCACTAAAAAGTATTCAACAGCGCCCGAATACGTCATTCAAAAAACAGTCCAGGTTACAGAAAATACTATAAAAGCATCTCTAGAATCAGCTTGATGACAAATATAGGGGAATCAGCGGCTGCCAAATCCTATAGAATAGTTTACAACATTCTCTAAAACCTGCATGTGCAATAAACGCACACTGTGCTTTAGTCAATTATTATTTTTTTCGATCTGATTCAAGGTAAGGTATTCACTTCTTGTGTACAGGAGGACGTGAATGGAAGAGCAAAACATAACTCTAACAACACGACATGCAATCATGTATGCACCACGTTTAACAACAATCAAATGGCTTCGTTTGAAAACCCATATTAAAATTTCACCTCGAATAACTTGCTGATAGCTGCATTAACCAACTTTACTTACCTTGTTGACTTAAAAGCATATACCTGAAAATGAAGTTGTAAGGTCGAAATCTTCACGAGATATAACTGCTGGATAACTGCAAAAAGGCTTGACCTACAAAGTGCTTGTCAACGTTATCAAGTCAAAGACAATGGCAAAATTTAGATAAGTATATATGGAAAGATAAATAAGTAGGAGCATAGACATATTAAGGATATACAGTACATGTACATATTGTTGCACCTTTACAAGAGTAGCGTTAACTGCGGCATTCCCCTTCTCTACAGTGTCTGACGTAAGGTTACTGTTGCATTGTGAATTTATTTCTATATAAGCTTGGCACTAACTTTAAACTGTCATTTGATTCGGATAATGCCGGGGTATTCTTGTTAATGTTAATCATAGCGGTATTAACTGCAAACCCTTTAATTGTAATTCTTGTTAAATCTGTTTTTAATAGAAAAGTCAAGCTGCTGTTGGTGAAAAAAAATGTCATCATTATACCCTTAGATTGAATGTTCAGGTAAAATTTGCAAGAAAAAAACACTTCGTATTTATATTATAAGACCATTTGCAAAATTTTGTTTTTGCCTTTTTTTGCATTAAGTATGTATTTCATTTTCAACAAGTAAAACATTACATTGAAAAAGAATCATTGTTTTTACCGATTTAAGATAGGACTTAGGGAAGTTAAAATGGTTGTTAACGTTGTATAAAATGTTTTTCTAATAACAAACAGAAAGCCATTATTTTGGAATATTTTTATTCCCTCTGATGAAAATAAAAGTTATTTAGTACTTGCGAGATATCAGCCTAACGCTTTCTGGTCCATTATAACAAAAGTTGGTGGAAGTATATTTCAATCTGAAAATAAAATCCAAGAAGAAAGGCCACAATTGGCCAAAACAATTGCGTTGGAAGGATCATTTAAGCTTGAATTTTAATGAAACGAGATTTCTAAATTTATTTTTGCCGGAAACAACATGCCCACAAGCAACATGTGCAATAATCATTATAGGTTTAAGCAATTCAAACATACATGTACCATACGTACATAAAGGCAAAACCGCTTGTAAATTTTATACATAGTACTTCTACTTTGATACAATGTAGAATAATTTAAATGCGTTAATATTTACATTTGTAATTTGGTAAAAGATACATGTAATACAAAGTGAAGAAATGAATGTTGCAATCGCTGTTTCATTCACAATAAAAACCTTTTGTTGATTTTTTAACTATAAAAACTAAAATATTTTCTTACATCTACAGTATCTATAATTGTGTACGATGTACTGTAGAAGCTATTATCATATGGCACAACCCACCTATATAGCTATGTCCCGTAATCCTCTGCCCGTCAGCAATCTACGAATAGCTGAATATAAAAACTTCGCAGAAATAACTATCATTAAATTTCCAGTGTAAAACCAAATTTGGATAAAAGTTTTACAAGGGCAAAATCTTACCCTTAAGTCTCTTATGAGGTCAATTTTGAATAAAAGATTTAATCAAAATGGCTGTTGAAATCCTCATATTGCGTCGCTTCTTTACGACTTACATCTTCCATTTTGGCATCTTGATTTATTAACATTATGCTGGAAAGAATTCCTTCAGTGACCCTCTAACCGTCCAGTCATCAGCAGACGACCGGGTGTCTCTCACAGTTTTGTAAACCCTCAGGAACAGCTCGTCAAAAGGCAGCTTGGCGGTGAAATACGTCATGGGATTACCTACAGTGGCTTGTATAGCAGGCGGCCTGGAAAATATTCATGAAACGTACAAAATCTCCATTTTTCTTTAATATACAGATAATTAAAAATACCCGGGAGAATGACAGGAATTTTCCTGTCGAGTAAAAGTGGAAAAAGGCACAGCTCATGCAGTCCTCTCGTAAATGTTGAACAGTATCATCAGTTTGATACCTATTGGCAATAAAAATCCTCTTTTGTAAAAACCAATAGTATCATTTTATTAAATGCGTGGAATATTTTGATGGGCAAAAGGGTAATTTTATTGAAACATGCAGTTCTTATTTTGTCCCTCTTTAAAAACTGGTTTGAAATTTTTAGAAGTAATTTATTTTAACTCTAGAAATATTATATTCGATTAATATAATTTTCTGAATAAGCTTTTTAACGATGCAAGTCATACAGCCTTGTCCCTCTCCCACCACTCTGAAAATGATAATATAAACATATATGTTACATATTTCTTCCCCAACTTTAAACATAAAGTTAGCCCCTTAAGATCTCTGTTATGTTGAGTTAAGACCACCTCATTCAGAAATTTCCCACAAGTGCATGAGCATATTTAATGCAACATACTGAACGAATTCATAATATTTGCAAAAATAAGTAATCATTCTTACTGATCTTTGAGATGGACGTCCACATTTCGTATAAATCGAAGAAGTCCGCATATGGTAGACCTGTAGCCATTCCTCACTGGTTTTGAAACTTCGTCATAAACAGCTTGATCGAGCAAGTCTTTCTGCAAAACATTATTTTTTTAAACTCGGTATACTTATTTCGTCAGTTCAATATACAGATGGTGAAATAGATTTTTCAATGCCACTTGTGCTGCGATGGTAAATAATAGTAAATTGTTTCTGAAAAGAGGAAACGCCATACGTCATTAATAAAATACTATTTCCTTGACATAATTGATGACTATTTTTATCACACAAATATAAACCGAAATCTACAAAAAAACTTTTCAAATCACATTGAAAGTATTCTTTATATGATTATTTTATTGAAATAAAGTGCTATATAAAACATTGAAATTAAAGATTTTGCCTTCGTGCCAAGATTTTAGAGGTTCTGTGCATGCCACGTGCACTGTACGTGGGTCCTCAATAAATCAAAGATGGAAGATGAGATAAACTGTGATTCGTTTTGTGACGGGGGCACTTTTGCGTGTATATTCAGGCTGTTGTGCAATAATATACAATAATGCCCCACACGAAAATACAGTAAATTTTTACGGTTGATTTGATTACATTTCACCAAACTCTGTACAGTTTGAAAGATGTTAATAATACTGGGAATTTTACAGTACAGAGCTTATAGGACATGGTCTTCTTTGCAACCCCACAAACGAAATTTGTGCAAAATTGTTTGACAATAAAAACTTTTGCTGACTCGTCACATCATTATTTTTAGGATGATTTCATATTTAATTTTATCCCTAAGGCCATAACATTTAATGCAGGCAACAATTTGCCACATTGTTATTATTGTTAAAATTATTAGGATAGTGAGTTTATATAATAAAAGCGGCCTTGTTTGGCCAAATCACGAACACCCGATAGTCTTTGTTGCCTTCTCTTTTGTTATGAACGGGACTATGCAAGTTTGTGGTGCAATGGGATGGAGGAGACATAAAAAAACATGTGTCGTTTTTGGCCAGTTTTTTGGAAGGCATTGATTTTCTCCCTCTCCCTTCCTCCAATCTCTCCGGATGAGTTTACGTAGATTAATTAGTCTAATATTACATGTACACCAGTAACACACTGGTTATCCGCATTCAAGTAAACGCGGAAGCACATTCAAGTAAATGCAGAAGCAAAATCGTTAATAATAAACCGGAAAGACCTACCCAGTGCGGTACTGTGTTAAACACGGATACCGTCAACCCATCCAGTGTCAACGTTACGGAATGTGGCTGTCGTTTCCAACTGCAATATATTCAGTGGATTTACATGAATTTTATACAAGTATCACAATCGATTTCGGTTGTTCTTATTGTAAACAAAAATATATTATCATTAATTTGCTCTCACTAAGTATACTACCGATATTCTACTCTAACATTTTCTACGTCTACCAAAAAGGACTGATATCAGAAGACTATCAAACTCAGTATATTTTTTAATAGAGCGATCTTTAAAGTTACAAGATGTTTAAAAATGTTTACATTAAAGTTTAAGATAAAAAATAATGTTATCTGGAACGTAAAGGACATAAGACGTATGTTACAGGAAGCAAAATACTGCTGATGTTGCATTTCAACATTCTGTCACAGCTAATTATTTCATTAAACATATAAAATGATTAACATCCCTCTGTTTTACCTTTCTTTCACTTCCTTCTCGTCCCCCAAAACACCAAGAAAACGGTACCTCATATCCACATTCCAAAAGAACGGGTGCCTGTTAATAAAAGGTATATTGATATTTACAGCACGTTTACAATGTAACTCCCTGTACCTAAATTCTTATCAGCGCATTGACACATTTCAATAAATATTTACTTGACAGTATGCGTTAAGGACAACATTACACACATCTAACTAACCATATATTTATAGTTATTATTGGTTCAGATGTTGATAGTTAAAACGATTCTTTAACTGGAAAGTGCGCCTTTAATCTTGTATTGTGCAAGTAGCTGCAAATGCTTTTTTCCAAAGAAATCTTTTAAAAAGGGAAAAGAGGAAACATAAAGATAACTTACGCCAGTGCCTCCTCAATGGTCGGCCTCAGCTCAGGGTCTGGCTGCAGCATCCAGTCCACTAAATGTCTCCCAACGATGTCGTCCAAGGCTGAAAGGTCATGTTTTCCATCTTGAACGTTCTTGTTACACAGAAACACGTCGGCCTCGCCATTGGGCATAAATGGGTGTATGCCACCTGTTAATGTGTAGTAGACTAACATCCCGGCTACCTGCAAGGGCAACAGAACAATAAACAGTTTTATGAATTAAAACTTGGCACATACGTGTATATCTAAATCATTCATAATGTGAGACTCGACATTATAGCCACAAAATAGCGTCGACAATCAGAATTTCAATGTTCGAAATTGTCATAATGAAATGACAATTAACCATGCTTGAGATTGTTAACAAATTTTCATTTATTAATACGTATGTCCATGATATTACCACCATATTAATTTTTGAAAATTCTGTGTAGTAAACTGTAAATTGAAATTGCATTGTTAATTTTACCTGAATATCGGCATTCTTCTTGTATTTGACTTTCCCAGTGGCGCTATCAAGTATCTCTTTTGCCACCCAGTGGTATGTCCCTGAAGATACACCAAACACATAACAACCACAGTTAGCGAATTATGAATATAAATACATGTTCCAGCTTGGCCTTAGAACAGCTATAAATTGGTAATGAGTAGTACAAATCAGACCTATTAATTGAAAGATAAGATAAATAGCATAAATATTTATTAAACCAATAGAATATATATAATATAAAATATTGGGTGTAAAATCTGCTGTAAAAGCGTCGTTGTGTAAAGACACTGTATGAATACAAACGTTTAATTCTTACTATAAAAAGGGATGCGGATAAAGGATAATAGCTACATAAAAATCGTTTACATCCCTTAAAAACTAATAGTCCGGAGTTACTTGTAAAAAAATTAAAAATTTGTGAGCAGGATGAAAAATGCCACTCATGACATACGATGTTTTGTTTGCTACGTTCTTTAGATAGATATAGATTTATTAGGGGTAAGAAAAGAATAGACGAGGATACTCCCCATAGCTAATGAAGGGCTACAAACTGTACGCATAAAAACTGGACTAAAAATGCACAAACTAGACTAAATGTGCACCGGCTACAAAGTATTGTCGCTATGATTCGGCGCCATAATATCCCTTTAATATAGCTATTCTGCAGCAGCTGAATATCCTCATGGCCAGAGATTAATTATCTATGCAATAGTTCATGAGACAAAAAGACAGATTGACAGACAGACAGATATGCGCAAAGTCGTAAAAATCACATACCTTTAGCAGTAGTGTAGAAAGTGCTCTGATTATCCGGGAGGACCACACTTATGCCAAAATCAGATAATTTTGCACGGTTGCTGACATCTAAAAGAACGTTATGGGGCTGGAATTTAAATGCATTGCGTAAAATAACTGAAATACTTCAGACTGTTGCTTACTTTTGTTTTTTATCGAATATTTACTAACATGAAACTTGTGACACAAAAATATCATTTGCAACTAAAGAAATAACTGCCTCGGAAAGCATTTCAAAAAGCCCATAAAGACACCGTGTAGATGAACTGAAGAAAGGAACAGATATTATGACATAGATAATCACTGATAACTGAAAAGACAACTACCTTGATATCATAAATGAAAATTATCAAACGCAAGCCGAAATACTTCCATACCGTTAGCTTACAGCCAACCTGGGCCCCGTATCTCGAAAGCTTCGTTATGTTGCGCACGTGTGCAAGCAGGGCGAGCGTGCGCTATCCTATATCTCGAAAGCTTCGCAAATCGCGGCCGTGCGCTAATGTCGAAATCACCATTAGTTTCGAGGCTATTATTTGCGGCGATACAAACTAGTCGCAAAGGCCTCTGCGTATGCAAAATTCGTCATTTTAATGTGTCTTTCATGTAATTAAACATGGTGGCAAGTTTGGGTTGCTAGTCATAATCAGGCCTACCCAACTACCAGACTCGGCACCGAATGATCCTGAATTCAACGGTAGATCGGACCACACTACCCGTTTTCAAGGTGTGTATCAGTACGCATTTCACAGTACATGTATCAGACGCGGCACCGCTCTTGCCTAGTAGGCGATGTGATTCTCAGCGGGGTTGAAAAGCATTGCATCACCACACAAAATTTGTACGGGGTATGATACTGTTTAATGTGTACTGACTCACACCTTGGAAACGAATAGTGTGGTTCGATCTACCGGTGAATTCGGGATCATTCGGTGCCGAGTCTGGTAGTTGGGTAGGCCTGATAATAGCATGTAATAAAACATGATGAACACAAAATGAAAAGGCAGAAACAAAGCATTCGGTCGCACCGTGACCTTTCTCAATGTCTATTATTGTGAGACTGAACACTACTCACCAATGTGTCAGTAATTGTGTCAGTCCAAGCTTCGTTTATTGAATTGTTTTTTTTTCTTTGACATTTTATTGGTGTCAAACACTTCAAATATCACTATTTGTTATTATGATATTCCTATAAATAAAAAAAACAACCTCTTGATTTGCGTCATGATGAAAAAAATTACATTTTGTGTAATTGTGTTATGACGTCTTCACTTTATGCGGCAATCGAATTTTAGTTTAAATTAGAGTTTGAGGTTATAATTGCGTTGCGTTTGCTATGGCTTCGAGATAGCAGGTGGGTGCAATCGCACTAAGAAAATAGCGCAGGCTCGCCATGCTCGCGCACGTGCGCAACATAGCGAAGCTTTCGAGATACCGTACGGAGCCCTGGGCGCGAGTGTCTCGATTCCATAACCGATTCTATTTCGAGATACGGGGCCATGGAATCGAGACGCTTGCGCACGTGCTAAAGTGTCTCGATTCCATGGCCCTGCATCTCGAAATAGAATCGGTTATGGAATCGAGACACTTGCGCACGTGCGCAACATAGCGAGGCTTTCGAGATACGGAGCCCTGGACGTAGGCCTTCATCAGACTGATATGAGCAGATGTTGACACTCAATGAGCGTTAGGTTGTATAGAAGCCAGGATCCTCTCAAATGTCTGGTAGATCGATAATTTTCATTTATGATTCAACTACCAAGCTAATGAACATTTTTGCTTATTTACCTTGATGTCCATGTGAATAACGTTGTGCCCAGTGTGTAAGGTTCTGAGGCTCTCCAAGATCTGCCCCACGAGATCTCGGGAGATGTTGGTCTGGTTTTGTTTGTACTCATCTGTAGATATGAATTCATTGAGAGTAAACTCCCCAAGCTCAAGAATCAGGTACAGAAACTCGTCGTCCATGGCAATATCAAGATACCGGATGATATTTGGGGAATCTAATGTAGTTAATACGCTTTTCTCGTTCTTGAAATTCTGTGACATGGACCTGGGGAATCTTTTTACGGCGACCTCTCTGCCATCATGCCGAATACCCAGAAACACCTCAGTTTTGTTCCCGCTGAATAGAAAGTATAATTACAAAATTTAAGGAATCTTTAAAAACTGTTACTAGGACTGATGGTCCCTGCCCCCGTCAAAAAATTAATGAAAAATATTTGATAAAAAATAGGCACATTAGTAATGAGAAAAATTTAGAGCATCGAAATTTGAAAGTACTGAGGTACACAACACACAAACTTTTTCTACCTGTATGTATTTCATTTGAATTTCATTTGATTTCTCATGTAAGAAAACGTTTATTAAATAATAAAAAATATTAAAACGTTTATCAAAACCCGTTTTTAGCATTGACGTTCATAGTCACCATTTAAAAAGTGAAAAATTATCTTAAAAAGAATAGATACAAAATGCCCCAAGATACTTACAATCCGATTTTAAACCTGTCCACCTTTGTGCTGAAACATACGTTGTTCACTTCCTTCAAGTTCCCGTCGCTGACCTGCAGAAGTTCTTCAAAGCAAGGCTTCCATCTGGCACTGACAGGTGTCCAGTTTGAGGAATACTTTAGGGCAATCTGTTCCTTCAGGTAGAGAATACTATTTGATGGTATCATTGATTCGCAGAGCAATCCGTCGTCGGCTAAATCGTTTTGATCAATTTGTAAGATCTGTCGTGCAACAGGAATGTTTTCATGTTCCTCTATTTGACTTTTTAAAAACGCCACTTTTGTATTTGGTGAAATTTTATAATCTTTTAAAGTACCGCTAGGCAGCAGCACTAACACTTTCCAGGGCTGACAGGTGAGAGTAATGCTCATTTTATCTTCCGTCTCTGGGGTCAAGTACTCGGATAACATCTTCTCGTCACTAAGAACAGTGCCATAAAAACCAAGGTGTTGTTCAAACCGATGTAAACCCGTATCAACCGCCAGAAGCTCTTTAAGTTGGCCAACAGAGTAACTTGACCGCAAAATGTACGAGCAGCTTTTTTCGCCAAATGTTACTAGTACTGTTACTGACCAGTCAACAGTTACAACTGCCCCTTCATGGAGACCATACTCCTCCATCGTTTTGTCTCTCACGAGTTCAATACCTTCGAAAATAAAAATTACGCTTCTTGGAAAATTAATTGCCAGTGTGTCCACAGTATCCGTTGGGAATACTCTAACCGATATTAATGTGTTATGTCCAATTATCCTCAATACCACTTCGAATGAAACGGACATTTTTACTTTACGTAGACGATACAGCGGCTTCTTTGTATCGGACTCGGTCAATTCTTGAAGTGTCGCTCTTCCCTCCCAATGGGCTTCAATTTGAAGAATATCCCTACGTAATTCCTGAATTTTGAAATCAAGCCCATCTAAAAAATCTCCGACGGAAAGAAGAGGATCCCCAAATAGTTCCTCAAGTCTGCCATCCGCAAATTGAACAAAAACACCATGGGCGACGTAGGTGATCGAAAACTCTTGGTCTGCCCCAAGGTATATTCCATAATCCTCAAAAGTCCTGTCGTCTTCAAGGCTATCTGACTCTCCTGGGGTGCTACCATGGTATACATTCACGTAAAAAAAGGGTACATTTACAAGTTCAGTTACTTTGGTCTTTATGACTCGAACTTTATCCGTGCCCTTTACAGACAAGCTCAGACTTTGTCCTTTCGGCAAATGAACACATATGGAATGAATAGCTTCTACTGATCCATGTAGGAGGGGTGCAAGATGGAACAGTGGCAAATTTTGGCATGAGCAGTGCCTCTAAAATAAACAAATAAATAGATAAAAACATCTTATGTATTAGAATTGGAAATGACTGATAAAAGAAAGCCATAATTACAGTATTATACAGGGGGTGACAAAAGTATTGCACACTTTTGCTTGAAGGTTAACAACGGCTGGGTACGCTTTGTTTTTCAATTAGTCTTTTGGCTACTACAGAATTGATAACCGCAAACACCACTGAAAAGCTGTGGAATGAGTAAATGTAAATCTTAGGGGCAAAGGATCGCCCCTTTACCAGAAATACTCTTATCCAATATGTCTTTAAGGTCTGGGCCAACATAGCCTCCAAAATATTGCTTAACCTTGACCAGTCTATGTCCAAAAGATGGTGACCATATTGAGACAGCATGGATATCCAACAAATTGTTAATACTGACATAATAACATGCGTTATGTAAGGTGCAAAGCATCGTTTTGTAAACATGTTGTAAAGATCCTAACTTGGCATCCAGTTTTCAATAAAATTCTAAAAGAAAATCCTTACAAATCAAGTTTTGTTTACCTTAAAGCAAAATGGTGCAATACTTCTGTTATAACCACTGCACAATTTATGTGGACTATTTTTTGTGGTTTGGATAGCTTCCGTGGACAACGGCCCAGCGGGCAAATCAACATTGAATCAATGTTGAATCAACGTTGATGGTCAACGTTGAAACTATGTTGATATGACGTTGACTATGAAAGTTGACTCAACGTTGAACCATCAAGGTTGAATCAACCTTGAGGTATCAATGTTGAATCAACGTTGACGGTCAACGTTGAAACTATGTTGATATGACGTTGACTATGAAAGTTGACTCAAC